CAAGGAATAGCATATTTGGTAGCATAACACGAATAATAAGGAGAGGGGCTAAAGGTTGCAGCTGAAAACATAGACTTAGAAAACATTAACAAATATAAACACACATGCTGGTCACTTGTAAAACAATTGTTTCAAAACAATAAAACATCATATTATTACACAAAAATCACTTCGTTTTATAACATATAGCCCTTTTCCCAATATTCATTTAGATTTACGGCAACTAAACGTGGTTTTATATTGGAATTTTATTTTTTATGTGAGATAAGAGAAATGTTTCTATTATCTTCCTCTCTCGCTACTCGCAAAAATGTATTTACCGTTAGTTTTACTGTTTTTCTAAGAAATAGTTTTGATACATACAGTTGCGAATTTCAACTTTTTTTTGTTTATTTTCGACCTTTGTGCACAGTTGCCCACTGCAAAGCAATTCCTTGCACCAAATTACAGTTTTATCTTAATTTCTATTGTGTTAAGATATATAAAGACCGATAACGACCATCTTTAATACATAATTTGATAAAGGAACACGTGTACACTTGTTTACTCAAGTTATAGTTTGCACAGAAAGACCGACAGAAAGTCATCCGGATTTCACTCGATCATTTATAAATATAATTTTATATTTGTCTCGTTTATTTGCTGCTAGTCATATTTTCTATGAGCCTTGTTACCACGATTTGGCAAAAAAAAATTAGATCCTACTCATTGTGAACTTACGAAATTTCGTAGTATCTGACGAAAATATCACATGCTGAAGTTGCAGATTAAAGTCAACGAAATAAAAGTTCGACTTGAGGCAATCCGTATATATCCTTGTTTAATATTCAGTTTTAGTTAAAAACTGTCTTATTTGAAATTGACAATAACTAAATTTGTTGCTATAAATAATGATAGTAGAGTTCAAGGAAAAATATTTCACAAAAATGAAGGTGACATCAATTGAATTGTAAAGGATTCCAATGAGTGATGTCATATCAGTCTTCGGTATTGTTAATTATTGTCCAACAGTTGGATCGTAAGTACGCATGGATCTCCAAACGAGAGAGATAACTTCTTCATTAGCTCCTTTTACAATGGGCATTTTAGGTCTCGATGGCGGTGATCATTTCTAATATAAAAAGGAGTGCTCACTATAGTGCAAACCGAATATGTGATTAATAAGTATCAGATGAGCAGCCACTACAGAACTAGACAATATACCTCTGATTCTCACAAAATGTTCGTAATCAAGTATAAGTATTAACTATAATACTTTAGTGGGGCAAAATTAACATAAGAACATGGCATGATAGAGACATATTTCGGACAATAATTTACAAAAAGTTCAGCTGACAAAAAAAAAAAAAATTTATATTAAAAATAAAAAGACGAAAAGATTTTATCAAATATAACTGCTAAAAGTCGCTATTAACTGCACGCAAGCAAGTGGCGAAAAATTTTAAACATTTCAAAAAACTATGCCTTAATGCGTTCAAAACTAAAAATAACAACAAGTACCTGAAACGCTATGTATACTGACCGTTAGCTTTCATTTAAGTTCATTTTATTATACTTAATCTCTTCCTATTTTGTGGCACGCACAATGCTATCGAAGTTGGCGGTCTAACACGAACCTTTTTTTTTTTTACCATTATTTCTTCACATTTCCCAAATCTTTTACAAGTTTCATTGAATAATTTTCGTTAACAACTTGAGATGATCACAATACAATTTCATAGGTGCTTAGGCAGACAGCACTTAAGCGATTTAAATAGAGGTTTCGGCGCCTTCGGTGGTATTTCGAATGACAGTTAACCCGTCTAACTACTTTAGACAAACACTAATACATTTAATGAGCATTAATTAAGTGCTCATTACAGTTAGTTACCAAGGTCATGAGAAAATTGAATCATTACGTATTCATTGACTGCAATTTGAAAACGATTTTTGGACAATTTGTTGGGCGTTTGTATTTTGATTCGATAATACGAGGTGTGTTCAAAAAGTATCGTGAATTTTGAATTTTCGCGGGTTACGTATATTCGAGTTTCGAATTTTTTATGGCGTTATATTGGTACTCATGTCTCTCACTTATGCCGACAAGCTCGGCCATTTTGAATGTTCATTTAATTGTTGACAGCTGCTTTGCTTGCACGTGTTTTGGGTCGTCTTCGATTTTTACCTCTTACAAAAAATGGATCAAAGAGCCTGTATCAAATTTTGTGTGAAAAACGAAATGAAGTGCGCGGATGCATTCGGAATGTTGACTGTGGCATACGGAGAAGCTACCTTGGATCGTAGGAACGTTTATCGGTGGTACAAAATGTTCTCAGAAGGAGGAGAAGATGTGACAAATATTGGCTTTTGCACCACGATAACGCCGCTGCTCACACATCGTTGCTCGTGCGCGACTTTTTGACCAAAAACAACACACTAATGATGCCGCAGCCATCGTATTCAGCAGATCTGACCCCCTGTGACTTTTTCTCGTTCCCTAAACTGAAGAGGCCCATGAAAGGACGACGCTACGCTTATCTTGACGAGATAAAGACGGCATTGAAGGAGGAGCTAAAGAAGATAAAAAAAAATAATTATTTTTTGAAGTGCTGCGAAGGCTTTGGAAAACCCGTTGGCACAAGTGTATATCCGTAATATCTCATGGGGATTACTTTGAAGGGGACAAAATAGATATTCATGAATAAATAAATAATTTTTGAAAAAAACACAAAATTCGCGATACTTTTTGAACACACCTCGTATTTGCGGAGATATTTAGAGTTGTCATTTATTTTTAATTAATTTTATATAATTATAGAATTAAAAAATTTATAAAATTAACAAAATATATGTACATCGACAAAAAACAGTGACAACTAAAAATTTGTGAAAATTTAAAAAGAAAAAAATAAATTTAAAAAATACTCCCACAAAATATTTAATTAAGCTTGATGACAAAGATATTATTTTGCAGACTTGCCACCTGTTTTTCAATATGAATTGTTTATAAGTGAATATTAGACACAGTACAGGTACAGCTGTCTACTGTGTAGGCAATTAAGGTTTTTTCAAAGTTTTCAATCCTTTGAGTTTGTGTATGAGCAGGAAAAGAGTCCGGGCATATTATAATTCCTAAAGTATGCAGTAGCAGTGAAAGAAATTCTAGTAGCCAGAAAAAAAAGCGAAGTTATTTGAAGATCTATTTAGAAACATGGGGCCAAGGGCATTCAATGTGCATCTGCAGACTGCAAATTAGTAGGCGTTCTGGTGTTTCAAGATCCCTGTTTCAGAACTGGCTATTTACGCAAGCAGCTAGGCCCATGTCGTATAAGTGCTTCTTCAGCTTGTAGTGGCCAATGAAGAATTTGATAAGTAGTCTGCATTTATCTCTAGGGAGGTTGATTCCATATTTAAATCTGTTGAGATTGTAACCTCCCATTAGCCTTGCAGTTATTGATAATACCTCACGCTGCTTACTTTTTCTTTTGCGAAGCAGCTTCTTTATGATATAGATATCCACAGTGATCACCGTGGTGCGGAGCGGGAGAGCTCATCAGCCAGTTCATTCCTGGCTGTACCTTTCTGACTGGAGACCCAGATGAGGTACGTTCCGCTAGGTTATTCAACCGGTCTTTACACTCCTGCATCAGTAGCGATTTGATATCACAGACAGAGATTGCTTTAAGTGCCGCTTGACTGTAGCTAAGTATGGTATTACGTTCGTTGGGATAGTTGTGTTGGAGCTTTACTCTATGCACCGACTTATGACAAAAAAAACTTCTACCTGAAAAATGCTCGGAAAACTTCCCATTGGCATGGAGAGTTTGGTGCGTGCTCATGCACCAATTCCCTCCTACGTTTTTAAGCCGTCTGTGTATCTTGATTGTACTATCTTTAAGCAGTAGCTATAGAGTGGATCATTTCAGTCTGTATTGCTGCTAAAGGTAACCTTGAACTTCTCGGTGAAGTTTACCCTTTTGGTAATGCTGTCCCTTGGGAGAACAGTTAATAATATTGCACCACTTAACTCTTTTATCCGCTGGTACGAAATTACCTTACTTCTGCCACATCCTTCTGCTGTCATTTGTAGCAGTGTCTGTTTGGCTAACTGACCGATTACTAGGTGAAGCGGTGTGAGCTCAAGCATGACTTCAAGTGCTGCGGTCGGACAAATGGGCAGTGTACCCGACGTACAGATGCAGTTACGATATTTAGAGTCCTACCGAAGTCTGCGAGGCTTTTGAGTCCGAAGCCACCGCCACGATCATGTTGTAGAACCCCCTAACGATACTTTGCTTGGATTTAGCAGCCAGTCGATTGTACACCACGGTCCGTCTCATACACTCATTTTTTGCATCGTTCCTCGTCTTTAGCCTTTTTTGTTGTATTTGAAAGATCAAAATGCTTCTTTTCCGACTTTAGCGCTTATATAACGGCGCTTAATTTTTCCTGCGGCAAAGCCAATATGAGCCTTGCCTGATCCATTCTCGTTGTATCTCACGCTTAAAAATCCGAGTTATAAGTATTTATTTTAAAACGCAATACTAAATGAAAGACAAGAGTATTCAGACAAGCTTTATTAAAAAAATTATATTTTACAGAGCTGCCACCTGCACGTCTCGCAGCAAAAACATTTAAAATTCAATAGTTTCAGTATGGCATTACACACTCTGTATGTTCTTAACTCAAAATGCCTTTACAATCAGTAATACCCACTCTATTTCTTTTTCCAGCACCCAACCACAGAATACAGCCTGTCAGGCGATGAAGGATCGCCGCTGCTGTTGGACACGTGGCAAAGTCATTGGCGGCAGTTCCGTACTCAATACTATGCTATATATACGTGGAAACCGGCGCGATTTCGATCAGTGGGCATCGTTTGGCAATCCCGGTTGGGGCTACGAAGATATACTGCCGTACTTCCGCAAATCGGAAGATCAACGTAATCCTTACTTGGCGCGCAATAAACGTTACCACGGCACAGGCATGTCAAAACAATAAAATCTATAATATCAGCGCTCATAATAAACTTTTTTTTTCCAATTTCAAGGTGGTCTTTGGACCGTGCAAGACTCACCTTACAACACGCCATTGGGACCTGCCTTTCTACAGGCCGGCGAGGAAATGGGCTATGATATTGTGGACGTGAATGGTGAGCAGCAAACTGGTTTCGCTTTCTATCAGTTCAACATGCGACGCGGTTCGCGCGCCTCCACTTCTAAGAGTTTTCTACGCCCCGCGCGTTTGCGCAAGAACCTCGACGTGGCGATGTTTGCCCACGTTACGAAGGTGCTGACGCACCCAGAAACCAAACGTGCCATCGGCGTGCAGTTCATACGCGATGGAAGCCTACAGACAGTCTATGCCACGCGCGAGGTCATACTCTCGGCTGGCGCGATAAGCTCACCACATTTGATGATGCTGTCGGGTATCGGACCAGCGGATGAACTGCAACGCGTGGGCATACCACTAGTGCAGCATCTACCCGGTGTCGGTCAGAATTTGCAGGATCACATAGCTGTCGGCGGCATTGCATTCCTTATCGACTACCCCATTTCCATTGTGATGAAGCGTATGGTTAACATTAATACCGCCTTGCGTTACGCCATCACCGAGGATGGACCACTCACATCTAGCGTTGGTTTGGAGGCAGTAGCTTTCATTAATACCAAATATGCCAATGCTAGCGACGACTGGCCTGACATGAGCTTTATGATGACCTCAGCATCGGTCATGTCGGATGGCGGTTCGCAAGTAAAAACTGCGCATGGTTTATCAGACGAGTTCTACCAAGAGGTATACAGCGAAGTGAACGACCGGGATGTTTTTGGCATCTTTCCCATGATGTTGCGCCCCAAAAGTCGTGGCTTTATTAAACTCGCATCCAAAAATCCGCTTCGCTACCCTTTACTCTATCACAACTACCTCACACATCCGGACGATGTGAATGTGCTGCGCGAAGGTGTCAAAACAGCGATAGCCATGGGCGAAACCCAAGCTCTGAAACGTTTTGGCGCACGCTTCTGGAGCAAACCCTTGCCGAACTGCAAGCATTTGCCACAGTTCACCGACGAATATTGGGACTGCGCCATACGCCAATACACCATGACAATCTACCACATGTCAGGCACAGCTAAAATGGGTCCACCCAGCGATCCGTGGGCGGTGGTCGATCCGCAATTGCGCGTGTACGGTGTGCCGGGACTGCGTGTAATTGATGCCAGCATTATGCCCACCATCACTAACGGTAACATACATGCGCCGGTGGTTATGATCGCCGAAAAGGGCGCAGATATGATTAAGGAGCTGTGGCTTAGCAGCACGCAGTGGCGTACGAAGCGTGCGCGTTCAGATTTGGATCACATTTGCAATGTAACGGAGGTCGCGGGGAATACGTTAAAGGACGGATTAACGGGCTCCTAGCGGTTTAGCAAAGAGAGAAAATAGCATTTGACATTAACAACTTTTAAGTCATACATATCAAGTCTCTCAAAATACCGCTCACCGTTATAAGTTGCACTTCAAGCAATTAGTTAATAAGTGTTACTTTTTAATTAATTTTAATTAATTTAATTTATATTTATAAAGTATATCTGTATTTTTAAATTAATTTTAGTAGACATTCCTTTCAGCTTCATCGCAGTGCTGCCAAGTCTTAAATTATAATTTATATGTATTAACTGTTATGTATAGATTACGCCAGAGGACTACACAAAGATTATCTCATAAGCCATGTTTCGCATTGTACATATCGAGTCACCGTTCCGTTAGTTTTAGGTAACTATTAAATTTTGATTTAATAATTGACGATTTGTTATTTAATAAATAAATAAATTAAAATTTGTCAAACGTTGTTTAGTTCTGGAATAATATGTATGTCGTATAGGTAAGAAGTAAGCATTCTTCCCAAGCAGGAAGATCCCGTGGTCTGGCGGACCAGCCTTAACATTGCTTATGAGTTTACTTCGACTGTATTGTATGAAAGACTTAAGTCCATTGTAAATAAACTGATTCGACTTGAATCCATATACAAAATTCACAATGCGTCAAATGCTGGAGAGTACTTCCACAAATAGAGCGATACGATTTCAAAGCCGCTTTCGACAACGCTAGCAGGAACTGCCTATTCGATGCCATATCTCAATTTGGTATCCCCGCGAAACTCATTTTGCTGAATGACGTTGGCATAAGAAGAAAAAGAAGAAAAATTACACTAATAATTTAAGCCTGAAGGTCAAGCGTAGAATAACTCTTGCCAAAAAGAGTTACTTTGGCATCGATTGGCAATTGAAAAGTAGGTCTTTCATAGCAAACGAAATAAAGAACTACGAATTGGGGGCATGCACCTCGACGGGACAAGGATCGAGACGAGTAGGTCCTTGTGGCATTTACTACAACGACGATATAAAGGAGAGCAAGTTTGGTGTGGGATTCGTGGTGGAGGAGCGACTCCATCGCGGGGTACTATCATTCACTCTGGTGAATGAACATCTAGACACAATCCGTATCAAAGCGAGGTTCTTCAACATATCGCTGATTTGCACCCACGCCCCGACGGAAGAGAAGGACGATGTGATCGAAAAGCCACCAACCAGATCGATCATGTTGTGATAGACGGAAGACACGTCTCCAGTGTTCTAGACGTGCGTACGCTCCGAAGACCTAACATCGACTCGGACCACTATCTTGTTGCAGCCAAGATTCGCACCCGCCTCTGTGCAGCAAAAAGCGCAAGTCAACAAACACAAGGAAGGTTCGACGTCGAGACTCTGGCTCTTTACATCGCAACGTTACAATCGACCGCAACACGTGAGGGATGGGATAGATATCGAGAGTTGAGGAGGTAAGCGAGACGCATTTGCAGACAGAAAGAGAAAGAAGCCAAAATGCGTGAATTCTACGAAAAAATGCGGCTTCTTACAGAAGGTTTCAAGAAAGGAGCATATTCTTGTAGAACCCCCAAAGGTGATCTAAAGACCGATGCCCAGATCATACTTAAATTATGGAGGGAACACTTCTCCAGAGTGCTGAATAATAGTGAACGTACAACGCCAGGACAAGGCGAACCCGATTCCCCAATTGAAGACGATGGAGAATTCCATTGCCCGACCATGAAGAAGTTAGCATAGCCATCGTTCGTCGGAAAAACAACGAAGCGGCGGGGGCCGATGGATTGCTGGCCGAGCTATTCAAACACGGCGGCAAAGAACTGGTCGGACGAAAGCATGCCCAACGATTGGAATATAAGTGTGCTATGCCCAATCCACAAAAAGGGAAACCCCACAATCTGCGCCAACCACCGTGGGATAAGCCTCCTCAACATCGCATATATTGGTTTCTATCGATCGTATTGTGTGAAAGATTAAAACCCACCGTCAACAAACTCATTGGACCTTATCAGTGTGGCTTCAGACCTGGAAAATCAACAACCGACCAGAAACCCCAAACCTTGGAAAAGACCCGTGAAAGAAGAATAACCACACATCACCTCTGCGTCGATTTCAAAGCTGTTTTCGCCAGCACGAAAATAAGCTGCCTATATGCCGCGATGTCTGAATTTGCTGTGCCCCCAAAACTAATGCGGCTGTGTAAACTGACGTTGAGCAACACCAAAAGCTCCATCAGGATCGGGAAGGACCTCTACGAGCTGTTCGATACCAAAGGAGGTTCAGACAAGGCGATTCCCTATCGTGAGAATTCTTCAATCTGCTGCTGGAGAAAATTATTCGAGTTGCAGAACTGAATCGAGTAGGTACAATCTTTTATAAGAGTGTACAGCTGCTGGCGTATGCCGATGAAATTGATATCATCGGCCTCAAAACCCGCGCCGTTAGTTCTGCTTTTCCCAGAATGGATAAGGCAGCAAAGAAAATGGGTCTGGTGATGAAGGAGATCAGGACGAAATATCTCCTGTCATCAAACAAACAGTCGTCGAACTCGCGGCTTGGCTCTCACGTCACTGTTGACAGTTATAACTTTGAAGTTGTAGATAATTTCGTCTATCTTGGAACCAACAAAATAAATAATGTAGTGTCGATTTGGTTTGAAACATTTACTTTGCTGGTGAGTGATCAAAGTAAACGAATTTAGTTAGCAACCGATTGAACTCAATTAAATACTTCATAGATTTACATATGTATATATTATTAGAAAATAAATTTCACCATTCTTCGCATTACACATTTTTTTGTTTTAACTTTTCACTTTTAGTTCTTATGGAAACACTCTGTCTTTGTTTTCCTAATTTTTTAGACATTTGTAACACTCTGTAAATGCTTCTAGTGTGTGCAGCAACCACTACCAACACGATGTAATATATTTGTGGGGAATTGCTATTTCAACTCGCTTTGGTGAAAGATAAACAAGATGATGGTAAATATGTTTGCTGGAGCATGTCTTCGCTAACTATATTGGCACAAATCAGATTTGCTATTAGACTAAAAATATGAGCCGATACGAACAAATTTTGAATTTATTGTAATTGTAAATATCTGCTTACAGTTGTTTGATAATTGTAACGAATTACTCGAGTACCTCCACAAGTATTCAATGAGTTTTGCTTGAAGCTTACCTGTAAAGGAAATAAATAAAAATTAAATCAGTATCGATTGCAATTGTTTAAATGAGTTAAGCGTCCACCCCCTCTACACGGTAAAACTGGTGCATCCTAATGCAACAGCGCAATTCACCACAGGCGATTACTACAACATAACTCATCACACCTCTACCACTAAACAAAAAGGATGGACAGCAGGATAGGAGATTATTCGACATACACTGCGCTCGTCAGCATTGGACACAATTCGATCAACTCCATC